TTGCTGTTTCCAGCTTAGTTTATGACACAATACACATGGAATCCCCTATTTCTGCAAATGAAACAATGTCTAGCAGAACAGGAGAAATAGATGTTCTCTACTCATGTTCTATATCAAAATTTCATATTTTATTGGCAAAGTTCACTCAATTCACTGAAAGGGTAAATGCAGTCATTTGTTTTCTCATATTGCCATGATTTTGCTGGAATATTGCTAAAAATGGCTTAAACTAAAAACACTCACTCACTCACTCAAAATATTATTATTCGAAAATGCATTGTCTCCAGAGGGGTGTCTGCATTATACTCTACAGAGTGCTTGACTACTAATAATGCCCCCAATTTACAGAGTACCCATCTTTACATAGAGTACCCATCTATACTGCATGCAATAACAGTTCCCACTTTACAGCCCAGTTCCCAATTTACAGAGTACCCATCTATACTGCATGCAATAACAGTTCCCAATTTACAGAGTACCCATCTATACTGCATGCAATAAATTTAGTTCCCAATTTACAGAGTTCCCACTACAGAGTACCCATCTATACTGCATGCAATAACAGTTCCCAATTTACAGAGTACCCATCTATACTGCATGCAATAACAGTTCCCAATTTACAGAGTACCCATCTATACTGCATGCAATAACAGTTCCCAATTTACAGAGTACCCATCTATACTGCATGCAATAACAGTTCCCAATTTACAGAGTACCCATCTATAGCACAATAACAGTACCCATGTTTACACAGCACCCCACTATACTGTACAATATTGATAACATTATTTACTGCAGAAAACATTTCCTTTATTTGGTCTTATACAGCAACTGACCTCCCACCATACACCTCGAGGATGGGAGAATGATATCCCTATATATTCTTTCCAACAATGTTATCCTGACATCTAAGCCATGTAGACAATGGCAATAAACAGATATATGTGGGGAACATGCACATGTGTGCCGTTCCCACCTGTGGCAATAGTGTCCTCACATTTCATCTCCTGTCTGCAGTATCAGATACACAAATGATGTTACTTGCTGCATATTGCACTGATCACAACACACAAGAAACATAAAAATCTTCTCCCACAGCAATGGTCTCTCACAAAGTCAGAACCAAACTGTTTTCTCTTCCTCATGTCTGTTACTAGAAAGCTTCAGCTTCAAATAAAGTAATGCTGTTTTCTGTGAATCCTTTTCAACTTAAAGATAGTTGCTTGTTTCCATCAATATTTTCAGAGACTGTCTACATGTGAAGTAAATCACTGAAAGAAGCGCTGTTAAGGAGTATAGAAGCTACAACCCTGTAAGGAGATTCCCGGCACCAGCAGGTGCCCCTGGGTGTCCTCTGTCCTGCTGGCAGAGATCACCACTTGAAGCATGACCTCTACCCATGGTACAGAATACCTGGTGCTAATTGACTGCTTAACACAGAATATATCACCCTTCAACACGTAGCTGGTGAATACATTTTAAACGATTCACCAGAAGCTCAATGGGGCTAACTTATTTATCATATCTGTTTGCCTAGACATGGATAGTGTAGTGGTTAAAGTGTCCACCTACCTTGCCATTATACCTGGGTCTAATCCCACCATATTCTTATTTCATTGTTTAGTTAACTGTCAACACCTTGCTTGTATCAGGTCTTTGGATAGTATTTTGAAGTAGTTCCCATTTTTGTCAACTTCTATATCATAAGCAACTAAGAGCTTCAACATATATCCTACACCTTTATCATGACCCTCATGTTGATGTTACACTGGCCAGACCAACAATCCCTGGATGCTTACATCCTTGGACAATCTAAATGAAGGTGACACCCACTAAGCCCCATTTAGAACCAGTCTCCAGCAACCCATGTCTGTTGTCATCGGAGACTGATGGGATCGGGTAGAGGCTGACATGGATATGAGTGGCTGATATGTCAGTGTATGCTACTGGTGTGAATCAATACTCATCATGTCAATCACTGGATCGTCTGGCTCATGTTCCATTAATTACAGAGCTGGAATATTGCTGATTTTAAACATCAAACACATGATCATCGACGTATAATTTCCTTAAGTTGCATTTAGAAGCTGGTATGATGAAGTGGAACACTTTTTATGGATAGACAGCTTCTTTGTTGCAGTAGTAGTTGCGACGTTTCGGTGTAGATCCTAACACCGTTATCAAGCAAATGATACACAACAATTGCACAAGGAGACATATATACATGGCGGGTATTGGTTTATACACTAGAAGAGGTTGATGTACGGTGTGTTGACATGAGACTTGTTGTCTCCAATCACAACAAGTCTCATGTCAACACACCGAAACGTCGCAACTACTACTGCAACAAAGAAGTTGTCTATCCATAAAAGTGTTTGACTTCATGATCATTGATTTGAACTTTTACTGGGAGAAACTGATAAAACAGACTGCATGAAAACTGATGCATCAGATGGGATCCTGACAACAAATACTATCAAATATTTCCTGCCATGTGATACCATTGAAAGAAGCTTATCAAACAAGAGAGTACATCACTACAAAGAATGATGTCTTTTATCCTTCAGTGCCACAATCAGTATGAAGAGGATATGAGACAGCGACAACCAGCCACAAAGAATTAATGTCATAAATCTCAAGCCTTACACTTCCAGTCTACCAGCCCTGATTAATGGCTTCAATACTTCAATGTAATTACCTGAGGCAGAGTTTCTGTCACAGACGAAGGAATCACCAACCACCTAGTGGTCACCATTTGACATTACCTTGGGAGGAATGGGGGAACACTCTGTGCCTCTGCGTGCCCCTCTCTCTCTCTCATTGCTTAGCTTAAGATTTTCCTTCAAACATGAATCTGTTCCCACAAAAAGATGGAATAAACATTTGTCCGTAGCTTAAAATAACAAAAAACTTCAATGGACATATCGAATGTTCTTTAAATTATTTGTAGTGTCAGGCCCAAAGAATTGTATGGCGCCAACTTTCAGAGAAAAATTGACTCACAAATATTCTGTCTAAAGCAAAAATCACAGAATCCGTAGAATCTGGTTGGTCCCACAGAGTCTGCCATGAGGACAAGATAAAGTATATATAGGAGAAGGTAATCCCTACACTACAGGCACCTTGTAATTTCATTCATCATACACGACACTACTTCCTCCACTAACAAAGGCCATAAGATTAATGGCAGAAAAACTCCATCTGACACATTCTATATATCTTCAAAGAACAATATTCAGCTTTTAGTTTACATTCATGGCAAGCAATGGCTACAGAAAAATATTCCCAGTAGGAAAGATGCCATTTATATAATGAAATGTACATAACAGTCTTGTAAGCAATGCGAAAGTTGACACTTTGCTTATAAAAATTACAAATGTACAAAGTGGGAATTTCTGATGAGGCACTCACTCACTTATTACTAAATGGATACAAATGAAATAATCTATCACAGTTAGACAACATGAAAATATTCAAAGATAAAATTAAATTGGACTCGCATAGATATTTATTTCATCTCATTCAAGGACATACGACATCTGAATTATCTGCTCTTTAAGTAACTCTTCATTCAAAAGGACGAAAAGGATGAGGCGTCAGTGACAGTTCAACACACACAAGTGCACGAGATTAAATACTTTCTTTAGCAATGTCTCTATCATGACTAATGGAACCATCGGTCAATGCCAGGCCACCATCTGACAAAAAAAGCACAAAGGTCAAGCATTATCATTGATTAAGTGCTCCATTTCACATTTGTACTTTCCTGCTATCATGTTCACAACCATCGTTCTTTTTATTCACTAAACACATTTATTGGCCCACTGCAGAAGCGCTGCCGCCTAATAGTGTGAGTACTTCATAAAACCGACCATGCTGGAACCCAACATTTCTGGTTCGTTTCATTCCATGAAAATGTCACTATTTTCCTGACATCTTTTTACTTGCTGTGAGCTTTCCACAATTATATTATCAATCAAGGGAAACAGCATTTGCAATTTAGCAATAAAGAAAAACATTTGTTATGATAAGATGGCACCAAGTCATGTTGAAGGAAGGTCTGTTTCCAGTTACCAGTGACGTTTATGTCCCTACCAATTTGCAAGGTCATCAAACCAAAAGGACAACCTGAGAAATACTCTAACATCAAAGACTTTCTTTATCACCTTGAACAGGAATCAAACAGGAAAAGAAAGTTTTTAAAAAAGCAAGGCGACTACATTATCCCAGTCTTAGAATAATTCTATTTAGAAGCGCACCAGAACAGCCATCAGAATTAATGGTAGTGTTCAATTTGTTGTCATTTCATTCAAGTCTGGAATTTTCCAGTTGATCTCAGCTGTTCAAAGAATCACATCTGACCCAGACAATGGAGTGGTTGATAGCATGAGCATCTGCTGTTGGTGTACGATCAGTACAGCCAACCAATCACCAAGCCTCATCACCGAAGCCAATCTAATCACCCTCTTACAATGAGCAACATGGTGCTCGGGAAAAATACTAATCCAGGTTGTTTGCAACAATTGGTGTCGCCTGCCGTGATATTGCTGGAATATTGCTAAAAGCGGCGTAATACTACACTCACTCACTCATTCCTGGCGATAATGTAAGAAGGATGGGTAGAGTCTGGATGCATCTCCATCTTCCCTGCCAACTTCCACTAAATCAGTTGCTCATTTTCCACATCGAGGTGTTTACAAATGACACAATATGACTTAAGACAACAGCATTTTTAGTAATCTTGATACACAACAAAAATCTTTAGTAGATCATCACCATCTTAATTTTCCCAATTATCACAAAATAACAAAAAAATATTTGCAGGTAAATACAACATATATCTATAATATGACCTTGGAGGTGACCCTGACCTTAGGGTTTTGTAGTGATGTCCTGTTGTCGTAAGTCCCCTCAATACTAATAGTAATAATTACTAGAGTGTCTGTCAGCATCATCATTTCTTAACACAAACATTTGCTAATACATGAAAAGTAACTTACCTTGGGGGCTGCGATTCATCCTTACATTGGTGATGAGAATTTATATGACTTCGAGTGCGCTTTCCCTGGAAAACAAAAAGTGAGACAATAAGAGTTGACCTATCTGCAAATGAAAGACATAAACACACATATGAGCTGCATCAAGGCGGGATATACGACGTCGTAACACCCAGGTAATGTCATGACACCTGGCTGGCGGTGAACGCACCGAGATCGGCACGTATGCCTCCTGGCGTGCTCCATTATGCTATAATCCGTAACAAACATTGTTTAAAACTGAATATTAAATAGGACTGCCATCTAAGAAATCTTTGGGTAGCACTCTCAAATTCTGAAAACATAGAGCTCACCTGGATATGAAGTTAAATATGTCATTAAGAACAGACTCTAGAAATTCAGATAAAAGATTTTCTGCAGAAATACAGAGGACTTAGAAACAAAAAAGGATGATGTTACCGTAAGGAGGAGCATACACACTAAAGTTCAATTAAACTAAACTTTAGTGAAAAAAATTAGGTCATGGTCAAAACAAGGTCAAGTTTAAAATATTTTGAAATTAGTGTCATAGTCCAGAAAAAAAGACACATATTTTCTTACAATGAACATTGTATATAAATGAAAGAGGAAATATTATTTGCAGAATGTTTCAGCTTCATTTGTTCAGTGATTTCTGAGGAAAAGTTGATGACATACAACAGACAACACCTGATGAACGCCACACATCGGACAGATGAGACAAATAAGCCACAACATCACACAGTCAGATAAGCCACAACATCACACAGTCAGATAAGCCAAAGTGCCGACTCGTGATATTCCAGCCTTGAAAGTGAACTTTGCAACATTATAAAACAGAATTGTTTACAACTTTCAATGTATTGCAATGTGAAAAGAAATGGTATCCATATAATTTCTTCAGAGTCATGATGCCAAGTGTTACTATAGATGTTATTCAACACTGCAGGCAGCAGTATTTCAGTTCAATCCTAGCAGCTTATTAACAATACAGTCTGGTACAGGCAACCTGGAGAATGGAAACATGGGCAAGGGAAGACATCAGCCAATCACAGAGCGTGATTTAGTTCAATGCAGCCATATGTTGGCAGCCTGGGATGTATTAAGTCTGTCCACAGACAATCTAGGGATGGATAATATGAACAACATTAATTAACAAGTACATTCAAGCCAACCACCCAATCCTCTAAATCAACTCTTATGACAAGCATAGGTTCCTACCTAAAATCCCCATCAGGTTAACCATGTAAAAGGATATTATAGCAGAAGGAATTGTAATTATTACATACAGATTCAGTTACGTCCCAGTTCTTGTAAATGGATACACTAAGCCTGTAACAAAAACATATTGATATGTCAAGGTCAAGTGGCATCTTAGCTGAGCCAAACAATGTGAGGTCATGTTGACCTAAATGACAAGCCAGTGTTTAAATGCTTACTCTTGTGACAATCTGTGTGACAACATAGAAAACATTCAACTTGCAAAAAAGTATAGCAGAATCGACACAAAAAGAGGGAGTGAGTGAGTTTAGATTTACACCGCACTCAGCAATATTCCAGCTATATGGCAGTTGTCTGTAAATAATCAACTCTGGATCAGACAATCCAGTGATCAACCACAAACAGTGAGTGAGTTTGGTTTTACGCCGTGTGAGTTTGGTTTTACGCCGCTTTTAGCAATATTCCAGCAATATCGTGGCAGGGGACACCAGAAATGAGCTTCACACATTGTACCCATGTGGGTAATTGAACCCGGGTCTTCGGCATGACGAGCCAACGCTTTAACCACTAGGCTACCCCACCGCCACGACCACAAACAGAATAACTGAGATTAACTATAGGCAACCAGTGATGGCCTCTGCCTTCAGAAATATCTTCGCAGCAAGCTGTTTACAAGAGCATCATGACAATGAGGTTGTGTAGAACTGACTGCTCCTCCTCTGGCCTGCTTGTCATACCAGTGAGTGAGTGAGTTGGTCAGGTTTCACTCCAACATTCTATCACAATCACAGCATCAAAGAATAGCGTTGTCTTCTATGTGGAATCAAACTTGTGTGACGGATGCTTAACCTTACCCCTTTGTCACACGATGTCACAGCCTGTCAGAATGGTTTGCCTGGTCCAGACTCAAGAACCGGCCCCCCCAAATACAGCTGTAACATTGCTGGCACAACATTAAATATCTCTCAAAATATTATTTCATGAATTTTAAAATCAAGTCTTGACACACACTGCATCAAGTTTCATTTCAACTTCATTCCTACATGATGAATACTAATGCCTATCTTTTAAATCAATTTAAGCTGCAACCCAAACCATACGTTTAAAAACATTTTAAAGAATAAAGCTGCAAATCACCCCAAATCGACTCTCTTGAGTTAATGCAGTTAAATCACACCTAGGCCAACAATGCAAGACAACTCTAAATGTATACATTACTTACTTCAAATATAAACCTGCACAGACAGGGGAAAACATGTGGTAGAGTCAATATCCGGTACTTCTTGACGACTTCACACATTCAAGAGCCAGAAACATTTTCCCCATCTCGTCAGACAATCATCTGGAGAGGGCTGTGGGGGTCGACTTTCTCATTCTCTCTTCGATGGAAGTCAAACTCTTTCAGGCCAGCGCCATTAATCATTCCGTCTAAACACCAAAACCCTCCCTCCAATTACTGAAAATATTGCAGTGATACACATTTTTTCTATTTTTAAGAAGATTTTAAGACTGTATTAAACCACAAATTGCCCTTCAGTTTGGCTTAGATGCTGTCCATGACAGAAATGACAAAGTTTTAAAACTATTGTAACTTGGGTCCTATTCGTTGCCAATTTTCTTCAAGGAAATCTACCAAGCTTGTCTGTTTTGATTTCTTCAATATTTTTTTGTTCAGATTAGGAGTCAAGATTCATCAAAGCTCAGAACAAAAGCCTAATGAAGTGACAGCATTACTCCTGGGAATGGGGCTGCAGGGATTTGTGGAACGCATAATGTTGCTTACTGAATGCATGAAATAAAAGTCTGGTAGTTCGGAACAATTCTTGGGCTCCAAAACAACCTCTGAAATAGCTCATTTTGATCTAGCTTATCATTCATATTTAGAATTGACAAAATATTCCCATTCATATAACAATCAAGTTGTCAAAAAACATTCAAGCTACCATATCAGATGTGAGTGTGCAGGAATTTGGACCATATTCCCCTGCGAATCATTTACTGTGATATAACTGTCATAACTCCTACAGTTTAACAAGGAAATTATTCAATATGATAAATCTACCATCATCTTACAGGGCGCTTTTGTTATAAGTAGTAGTGATCACTTCAAAGGCAGCTGTGATCACATGAAATGTGCTGTGATAACTTTATTGTGAGATATGACCACAAAACAGGGAGTCTGTGATCGTTGTATAAGGAGCTGTGATCATTGTATAAGGAGCTGTGATAACTATATGGGGAGATTTGATCATTTTATAGGGAGCTGTGATCACTGTGTGTTGTGATAACTTTATGGGGAGATTTGATCACTATAAACAGGTTTGATCACTACATAGGGAGGTGTGATCACTGTGTGTTGTGATAACTTTATAGGGAGATTTGATCACTATAAACTTTATCAGGAGGTGTGATCACTATAAACTTTATAGGTTTGATCACTACATAGGGAGGTGTGATCACTGTGTGTTGTGATAACTTTATAGGGAGATTTGATCACTATAAACAGGTTTGATCACTACATAGGGAGGTGTGATCACTGTGTGTTGTGATAACTTTATAGGGAGATTTGATCACTATAAACAGGTTTGATCACTACATAGGGAGGTGTGATCACTGTGTGTGCGTTGTGATAACTTTATGGGGAGATTTGATCACTATAAACAGGTTTGATCACTACATAGGGAGGTGTGATCACTGTGTGTTGTGATAAGTTTATAGGGAGATTTGATCACCTTAAAGGGAGATTTGATCACTTTTTAAGGAGCTGTGATCACTGCTTAGTGTGCTGTGATAACTTTATAAGGAGCTGTAATCACTTTATAAGGAGATTTGATCACTGAATAGGGAGCTGTGATCGTTGTATAAGGAGCTGTGATAACTATATGGGGAGATTTGATCACTTTATAGGGAGCTGTGACCACTTTATAAGGAGATTTGATCACTGAATAGGGAGCTGTGACCACTGTATTTGGGAAGTGTGATTTTTTAGTAGGGTTTCAAAGGATTCAAATCTTTCCCTCGATTATATCAGGTGAAAAGGCCTGTGCTCAAACAGACAAAAACGCATTTTGATAACACAATTACCTTCTGTATTAGAGTTCAGCGTGTAGGCTTACTTAACTTCCTTTTTTTGCATATAAAGCAAATAACAATTAAGTTACATAAATTCTAAATAAATCCACCTGTGTGTTAGAATTTAATTATCGTAACTTTCAGCTGACCCATTTACAGCTTACAGGGCAATGACTCACATGAACATTATATGTCTCAGACGACTATACTGCTTGATAAAAATGAATCCAATTTAAAAGATACATGCTCTATGTTTTGTAACAATATGAATTGTTTTTATAGCATTAATCAACTGAAATCTATTTGCAACAATTTAACGAGAAATAGCCTGTAAAAATAAGATGATGGCAGAAGAGAAGAAATACTATCAATGCTATTATATACACCAGTATAGACCAGTTCTATAAAATGACGGGTTTCTGTCAAGATATTCAATATCAATATTGAAATTAACAAAGTATGTGAATTAGAGTTACCTCCCCCTAGTGAGTACTCACGTCGTCAACAACAGAGTCATGTTTTGCTGACACTCACCCAGCCCTGAGTACTCAAGCACTCACTGAAGCCCTACTGAAGTCTGATCATTTCTTAGGCAACTGTTATCACTTTATCAGAGAGGTCATTTTCATATTCTGTTGACCACTTTGAAGAACCACTTTGTATCTGTCATGTCTGTACACAAGTTCCACGCATGCTACAAATTTTAAAAAATCATATTATCTGTAACCTACCCTTAATCCCCTTAATACCTCACAGC